AAACACACAAAGCGAAGAAAGAATGAAGAACTTTATTCAAAATGAAAGTACACTTTACAATGTGGGAGTGGGCCAGAGCATAGGGTCTCATGGACGCCGTTACAGAATTTGCGGGGGTTTAAATACCCTCTAGAGAGGTTAATGGTTACTCGGTTTATGCCCTATGTAAATGGAGAGGATGAAGTAAAGTTAAAGTCATTTACTCTGCATACATCCTCTGGAAAGGATATTTTCTGCCATAGTTTAAGTGTGAATCAGCCTTATGTTCCCTGTCTCCAGGCCCTACCTCTTATCTAAAATAAGAACTTGAGAAAACTCCTGCTAAATTGTCTTTTGGATTTTTTGCTTAAGCCTATTATCTCATAAGAAAATGTACTCTAGTATTGGACAAAATTCTTTATAATGTTGTATATAAATTTTCTTCCTTGTAGCATCTGGTACAATATAAAACCAACTTCATAATCCTGCTGGTTTCCTCATTAATTAAATTCTGACCCACGTTCACAATTTATGGATTCATATATTAACAATTTGAGAGTTACATTTTGATAATGAGAAATACAGATTTGAGAATTGATAACACATAGATGCTATGAGAATGGATGGTATTCCAAAGGAGTGAATGTGGATAGAGTAATTCAAACACAAATATCTGTGACCTTCTAGTGATACGAGGTGAGGAAGATAAGGAGAAATCAGTTAAAGAGACTTAAAAAGAGTGACCAATAAGTTAGAAAAAGAACCAGTAATTGGGGTTCCTTGAATCCAGGTAAAGAATGCAAGTCAAAGAAGTAATCAATTGAGATAAATGCTGTTTAAAGGGCAAGAAGATGAGACCAAGAATGACCCCTGGATTTAGCAAAGTCGAGAGCTCTGGAAATCTTCAGAAGAACAAGTTTAATGGAGTAGTGGTAATGAAGAGGGTTGCTAAAAGCCTGAATTGGGTTGAAGAGTAAATAGGAAGATGGGAACTGAAGAATGGAAGGATAGACAATGTATTCTAAAAATTTTAGTGTAAAAGGAGCAAGGAAATAAAGTAATACCTGAAGGAAGTGTAGTCAAGGGTTTTGTTTTTTTTTTTTTTTAATTGGAAAAATCACAGAATATTTGTGTACTGATGAGAATAATCCATTAAAGGACGAAAACTAATGACACAAGAGAAAGAAGAAATAAATGCTATATGTCTACAATGTAAACAATGTGTGCATATCTCGTAACGGGATGGAAGAAGTTGGTTTGAGGAAGAGAAACAAAGTTAGATATAATTTTGGATTATAAAAAAAATAGCTAGTGAAGAAAGTCTTGGTGATGAGGATGCCAAAGGATTTCTACGAACAATTATTACTTAATGCTGTACTCTGATATGTATCCTTCTCTTTCCTTCCAGCACCTTCCTCCATAGCTCCAATGATTCAGAGAAATTTGCTACACATAAAATTTGTGTGAGAAGGCCTTTTTCTGGAGGGGATATGGTGATGCTCTAATTGTGGGAAAGAGGAAAAGTTTGAGACTCACAGTGAAAAATACGTGCTCAGCTCATAGAATTGTGAGAAAATCACATGCAAGCCCAAACAGAACTAACTCAACAGAAGTGGAAGCTTACAGCCCAAAGTAATTATGAAGATATATGATCCTCAGGAATTTCACAGATATTTGAGAGAAGTTTTTGACATCTATGGGGTTTAGAATAGAGGTTCAACTAACGTTGCCTGCATCTAAAGGGAAAGCAAATTTCCAGCAGACATCTGATTACACGTAGCAAATATGAAAAAGGTAAAAGACAACAATGTGGGTGGTAAAGAGATTGCAGACTATCACCAGGCAAAACTTCATGGAGAAAATAAAGTGTAGAATGTCAGAAAGTAGTATGAATCTTTGTCCTAAAAGGTAGTCTTCAGGGAAGCAAAATGGGATACAAAAAGAGTACTAAATTAGTGAAGCAAGGTTGAGATGGCCACAGTATTCCTTTTTCTTTCAACGCCTCATACACCTCAGTGCCAATCTTTTAAATCTTTCCTTTGTAGGCTTTCTGTAACTTTGCCTTCATGTGCAATTATAAAAGTCAGATCGTTGTTATTACAGTATACAATAAGGCATTATGGGATGTAAAAAAAAATTGCATTCGTCTAGAAAACAGTGGTAGCTCAACAAGTTGAGAGAGGTGGATGGGTTTTGGTTGTGTTTTTCATATTCATGTGTTTTTCATTTCATATGTTTCACTTGTTGAAAATAGGATGAAAAGGATGAGGGGAAGTACCTGAAGAGTCATGGAAAATTTCCAGGTTTTTGCCTTGAGCAATTTGGTGAATGGCTGTGTCATTTATCTAGATGAAAAAGATTATCTTACTTGATAGAGAGATTAGAGCTCTCCAAATAGAGATGCTTATGTATTTTTTTCCAGTAAGGGAGGGATACGAAGCAGGGAGGTACATATCTGAATCTAGAATTCAGTGTTGGGTATATTATGACGGCTAGTACAACTTAGGTTTCATTGTAGATGAAACTAGGCTTACTACATCCTGATGAAATAATATGGCTAAGAGAAGTATTGTTTTTGTTTTTGCTTATTTATTTTTATGTTATGGAAAATTGCAGCATGTTTGTAGTCTAGAGATACATAATTGAAGACAAAAGAAACATGGCTAATTTTGTAAATTGCTTCTTCTCACTGAACTCATGGTAAATATTTATTTTGTATTGAAGAATCACCTGTTGCAACAAGTAAAAAAGAATTACTCTAAAACGTTCTCCTTCCTTCCTCATAGGCTAGCTTCCATAGACAGCTCTTTATTCGACTGGATAATGCTTAATTAGAAGCTCTATCAACTTTAACTAGTCATAATGAGTGATGATCTTTCTTATTCAATTTCATTAAAGATTGATCCCAGTGATATATAATTAGTGCATTTTTAATTTATGACTTGTCAGTGTGCCTGTACATTCAAAATCTGAACTTGGGCAATTTGATCTATTCGTAATTATTTCTTTGTGTAGTCCAAGTTTTCTAGTTCTAGAAATATTTGAAACTTCTCTAAAGAACAGCATATTGACAGACATAATTTACTTTCTCAAACCCCAAGGCTAAAAATAATAGGAAAAAAACCACTCACGTAAACTTCATTAAGCAGTGCAACATTTCTAAACCTGCAAATGAAATGAACACTTACTTGATTTCGACATAGTTGTATTTTAAAAGATTTTTTTGCTTCAGGATGTAAATGCTTTAATTCTATTCTGGGCGATGTGACACTCTCCTACAAGGAAGTGGTAAATTAAAACTCACTTGAACCATCTGAATGTGCTGCAGAGAGAAAAGAGTGGATACTGGTAAGAAAAGAAATTAAAAAAAAATCATTCACATGTGCAGATTACTTAGCTACAATGTGTTGGTTGTAGCAAAGATTTTAAAAAGCATTTAAGGAGGCTGGAGATTCAACAAGCATATCAGTAACACATCATAAGCCAGTGGCCAAAGAATATAGACATTTTAGTTTAGATTGTTTCAGAGATGCACTGAAGCACAATTGAAGGAGTATAATTCTGGCACAGATAGCTAGGAAATGACACTAGCAGATGGATTGCACTAGTCTATAGCAATCAGAAATGAATTGCTCTGTGTGAATGGTTGAAATTTATATGTGCGATGGCTAAGAGATTCCTGCAGCCAGAGGCTTCAAAAAGATAGACTATTTATCCAAGCAGCCCAAAATAAAATGTTAACTCTGTTAGTATCAATCAGTTACTTGCATGCACAATAATACTCTTGGGATGAACATCTTTAGACATAAGTGTCAACAATCAAGTTGATGTGCAGGTAGTGGATAATAGTCACTCATTTACAGGCATCTTCCCTCTACACCTCCAATCCTCCAAGTATCAATACAGTAGGAAAATCAGCAGCTTTTATTATTCCATTTCCCCAAATATTAACCTGACCCAAAGTTGTCGTCTACTAAACTACAGCCAAATTGGCAAGTTTGAATGACGTGGCAAGTTCGGTTTGTTATGGCTCACGTAGACAGCTCTTCCAGGGACAGAACTAGTATTCTTCAACCAGACTGGTATGACTAGACTTTCATTACGTATAAAAAAAACCTAAGCAGAAGTTTCTGTATATACAGATAAATGGGAGCATGAAGAATGTGATTATGTTACAGAATTTGGCACACTAGTATTGGAGGAAGGAAAATATGACAAAGTTAAATGCAAGGAATGTTAACAATTTTATTAAGTATTAGAATTGTGTTTCTCAACCTCAATAGAAATAGGCTTTGTCTAAACAAAATTGAGAGGCACAGAAGACTCAATTTAACTAGATATATAGTTGCTATTATTTTTCTTGCACTAAGCAAATTAAAAAGGTCTTTAACAATTTAGTTCTTGACACAGATGAAGACTTGATTTAGATGAACAAGGAAAAGAGCATCTGAAATCCTTTAGCTGGTTTTGAGCTACTAATGAATTTTCGTTTCTCTCCATTGTAATTCTGCTAGGCTAGACTGAGGTGCCTTAATCCTGAGCCTCCAAGGTGCTCAAGTCCAGAAGGCATCATGATGTATGTAAACAGCAACTCTGATTTTGTGTAGTTTATTTAACAGCTATATGTGACAACAGGCGGTTTTGATTTTGGCTTTATTGCTGAATTTGGTAATCTTAACATTAGGAGTACTGCGTAGCTACGGAAGATGTCTAGATCATCCGGGGTTGTGGGAATTAATCCTGGATTCATGCCATCAAACTTTTGATGATTTCAGAGTATCACTTGGATTTTTAAAGCTTTATTTCAATCAGTACACAGTGATACATATCTTTTATTTCTGCTTTGCTTAGAGAATAAATGCCTAAGGTAAAAGATTATTACCAAATGTTGAATTTTTCTCATGCCCTTGTTGACAGTTATTAAACCATTAATAAGTTTATGGATTATAGTTACAAACAATAGCAGGATTTGACACACCTGAGTATATGATGTAAGTGCTATGATTTTATAAAAATAATTATAAAATGAGACAAAATGTTTAATTTCAAACTTATCCATTTAGGTCTTATTTTTCTATTGCTGATAAAATTCAGAAAAAAAAACAAATCTTTATTGGGAGACTAAATGAAAAGCCTGAAAAATTAAGATTGTTACAAAATTTAGTCACTTCTTATCAAAAATATACTTCTCTCTCATCATGTACACTACATTCAGGGATTAAATTTAGGAGTGACTTACTTTTTTTTTTTTTTTTTGCCTAGATCCTTTTACTAAAACACACATTTAGGTTAGAATCATTTCCTAATTCATCTTTTTTTCTCCACATTACGACATCCCAGAAAACAGAATGTGCCTTACAAATGATAGTATAATAGCTATTAGGCAGCAATAGTCATGGAGTTGTTACTTGCTCACAAGTGAACTTGGTCATATCTGTGTATATGACTGTCATTTCAGTTGAATTAGGTACACTATTGGTGGTATGTGTGTGCTACTATACACCAAGCAATACATCTCAGAGCAAGAGACCTTGATAAGTCCTGTGAACAGAACCATTTCAAAGCAACTGGAATCCATGCATTGTGCAGGATTATGGTTAAAATTCAGATTAGGTAAAATACAGTAGTGAGCACTTAATAAACACATAACATCCTCTGAACACTCTAAGTAAATAAATGTTAAACAACAGCTATCATATATTTTCTTTAAAAAGAATCTTGAAAAAGAAAAAATAAACACACAAATACCATATTTGAGGGCTTCAGATGGTCACTTCTGGTTTACCAAACAATAATTTTAATATTAACATGTTAATATGACATCAATTTGTGACAAATCAATCACAGGTCCGATCTTCTAAGGACCTGTGATTAAACTGAAGCAAAAGTGAAACTGAGTTTTGTCAAACAGAAGGGTATCAAAACTTGCAGGAGTGTGGGTCTGCAGTTAGGTAAAAAAAAATCCAGACATAAGTGTGGTAAGAGCACTCAGGAAATACAGCCTTACCAATAACTCTGAAAGCACAGAAGGTACTAGGTGGACATATGCATATCAATAGCTCTGAAAGTGCTGGAGAGTTTGAATGTGAAGCTGTAGAAATTTCTTGATGATATCTCAATATTTTACTTTTTTGTTATTTTATATGTACATTCATTCAATATTTCACTTTTTTATTTGATATGTATATGCAAGAGGGTTAAATAAAAATCTGTATTTAAAAACAACTAAAAGAGATCTCCAATAAATATGAAAATTTCAAGTAACAAAGCATTGTGTCATGTTTTATTGTGTTTTTCTTAATGGAACATAAAATAATGGTGATTCTTATAATTGATGGCACTTCAGATTTGGTAAAACTACAATTCTGAACATTTAGTGAATGACAAACACATAACATCCTCTGAAAAATCTGCAAGTAAATCAATCATTTTTAAACAATAGCTACCATGTATTTGTATCTTATCCTTGGAAAAAACTTTGGAAAAAAAAAAAAAACCCCAAACACAAGTATCATAACTGAGGGTTGTGGACAATTTACTTCTAGTTTACCAATTTTTACATTGACATAAAGTAGCACAGACTAGTTATTTCATTAAAAAAAACACACACTGACAAATCTTTTCTCTATTACACTGTAGTACAAAGACTTTTCACTTACATGCTTACACCAATATAGAAACACACAACTTGAGATTCCAGCCAATTTTTATTTTCTTGAAACTTTATCATCTGTGTATTATCTAAGTTTTTCCATTTTCCTGCCTGCTTCTTGATGTCTGCATTTGGACCAATTATTGTTTCTCAGCATCACCAATGTGTGGATAAAAACTAAGATGAAAAGTAAATTCAGTTCATTTGGTAATTTCAGTTTTGTTAGAAGGACTGACAGGAGATAATACAAGTAAAGTCTATAGTGAAATTATATGATTATTGATGAATTTCAATTATTACTACCACTTTCCCCACAGATAACTGAGTTTTGTGTGCATATGTATGTGTTTTCCTATGGAATGGAACATAAAGGAAAAATTTAAAGATATACAAACACATGTTCAAGTGTATAATACATATGTACTTTTAGTTTCATTTTAATAAAATTAATGAGATATGAATTTTATCATCAATTTCAGGTTTTTGTATCTAGTTATTTATCAACTAAAATAATCACAATATATTGGGCACTGAGTGAATGTGTCAGCTATGGATTTGTTTCTGTTTTTTTTTTTTTTTTTTTTTTTGGTAGAGACGGGGTTTCACCAAGTTAGCCAGGATGGTCTCGATCTCCTGACCTCGTGATCCGCCCGTCTCGGCCTCCCAAAGTGCTGGGATTACAGGCTTGAGCCACCGCGCCCGGCCCGGATTTGTTTCTGAAAAAGTATTTCTACAGTATTCCTACACTACTCTGAACATCCTACAGTATGCCATTTTTATTATTCAAAATAGAATTACAGTTGAGGAGAGAAGTGCCAGTGAATACTTAGAACTTCACTGGATCAAAAGCCTCAAAAAAGATGGAAAAATTCTAAAGATATGCTTAGAAAATTACCTTTAAAACTATGTGAAAAAACAATGCTCCACAAATCAATCATTATTAAAAACTAAAATCTGATATACATCCAAAAAATATCATTTTCTCAACTTAGTCTTGAAATATTTTTCTTCAAAAATGATTTATATGTACTTTTGTGCTATTATTATTATGCTACAGGAATTACATTAACATAATTTTCATTAATTGAGTTCAGTGAAACAACCTACAGAAAATACCTATCTCGGGAATGTTACTCAAAAGGGCAAAGTGTACAATATTTAAAATGTCTCTAAATCAAATTGCTTTTTAAACTGATTTCTAGAAAAATTTGTTCCCTGTAAGTTATCATATCTTCTACATCTTTGTAGATAAGCATTTCTTCAATGGACAACAACTTATAGCTATTCAGGCTGAATGCTGACTTGTTCTTAACAGCATTTAACATCTTTAGGGATGTTGTAACTGAATCACTCAAAGAAGAACAAACTGGGAAAATGCGTGCAGTCCACAAACTCAGACACGTCTTGTTACCAGAGAACAGTTCCTCTGTAACTTTAAGATTCCAAACATCTAAGCATGACAGGAAACAGACTCCAAAGAATTGAAGTAACTTTATATCTGACAATGTTTTCACACTCTTTTTCAAGTTGTCTTGCACTCCAAATGCCATAGTTGAATACTTTAAGCATCTATTCATCTTTAAACTTAAGGAACACACAAAAGAATGTGCAGGGAGGGCAGCTTTCGTTAGGATATAAGAACCACTAATAATGCAGTTTTCCCCAACTGAAACATCAGGCCCCAATCTAGAATACTCCACAACTGAGCCAGGTGCTACAGAACATCTTGAATCCAGTATGCTTTGAATGATACAGGATGTTTTGCAAGAGCATTCTGGTATATCTGGAAAGATACTAAAAGTTATGGACTGTAAGCCGAGCTCTGACTTTAAACTGTTATCTGAGGTAAAGTAAAACAAATATTCTTCGGTTGTTCCAATGTGATAAAATTTGGAGTTATTAAGAACAACAACATTTAATGATGTTCCTTTAAGAAGACGAAATATTCTCTGCCTCATTTCTACCAACTCTGACCCTTCTTTAACGACATTTGATGTGTTTCTGGTGTACTCCACAGTTGCTCCAGGTCCTAAAGCCTGTAGAAAGTCACCATAGGCATCTATTTCACAGCTCAGTGTGCCTATTTTTTCATAAAAAGCAAGTAACATTTTTGCTGATTTATGATCCATATAAAATAGGCTATCTGTGTAGACATAGTCAGAGTCTACTTCAAGATCGGCGATGTCACCCCCAGCAAAGTCCGGTTGACAAAAAGTTCCAGGTCTACACACAGCATTAAATTGATACATCTTTTCTATGCTGGGCTTATGAAGGAAACGATGGCAAGATCTGTATTCAAGGTCTCTATGTTTTAAATCATCAAAAGGATCTAAGACAAATACTCCATGTGTGGTACCTATCGTCAAAGTAGAAGGATGAGCTAAAGCGGTAAAGCCAGGTTTGTCAAACCTAATAAACTCAAATTCTCCAGTACTATAAAGTTCAATATCATCTGCACAGGTTACCAAAATTCCAGGATTCATATGTAAGGGGAAATCAATGTACATGGCTAGTTTTAATTCTAGCATCTGATAAATGGGGTTACCAAGAGGTAAAGCAGTGAAAATTTTTCCCAGAGCACTTGCATTTGGAAGTCGTTGACTGTAGCCACCTATAAAATTAAAACAAAATAACCATTTAAAAATGTAGTATTGTTTACAATCCCACCAACAGTGTAAAAGTGTTCCTATTTCTCCACATCCTCTCCAGCACCTGTTGTTTCCTGACTTTTGAATGATCGCCATTCTAACTGGTGTGAGATGGTATCTCATTGTGGTTTTGATTTGCATTTCTCTGATGACCAGTGATGATGAGCATTTTTTCATGTGTCTGTTGGCTGTATGAATGTCTTCTTTTGAGAAATGTCTGTTCATATCCTTTGCCCACTTTTGGATGGGGTTGTTTGTTTTTTTCTTGTAATTTGATGTAAATGACGAGTTGATGGGTGCAGCACACCAACATGGCACAAGTATACATATGTAGCAAACCTGCACGTTGTGCACATGTACCCTACAACTTGAAGTTTAATAATAATAAATAAATTAAAAAAAAAAAAAATGTAGTATTGTTTATAAAATTTTCAAAACCCAGGGTTTAATAACCTGTAAGTTACAAATCAAAATATATTTAAAGATATTTAATATATACCATGTGTTACTGTAAATCAGGAAAGAATAATGTAATCCAGATTAAAAATTCAAAGAGAAATTCTCTTGTTGCCATTTGATATAACACAATTTTAAAAACTATAGGTCAGGAAAAAAATTAAGTATACTGTAGAATCTGTGAAATGATTTGAATTACATGTATAACAAACAAGAAGGACCATGGCCCAAAACATGATGTTGTATCTACATTTTTTTTTCTTTTTTTCTGAGATGAAGTCTTACTCTGTCACCCAGGATGGAGAGCAGTGGCGCGATCTTGGCTCACTGCAACCACTGTGTCCCAGGTTCAAGTGATTCTCCTGTCTCAGCCCCCGAGTAGTTGGGATTACAGGCGCCTGCCACCATGCCTGGCTAATTTTTGTCTTTTTAGTAGAGACGAAGTTTCACCATGTTGGCCAGGCTGGTCTCAAACTCCTGACCTCAGGTGGTCCACCCGCCTCGGCCTCCCAAAGTGCTGGGATTACAGGCGTGAGTCACTGCGCCCAGACTGTATCTAAATTTTAAACAACAAATTTCAACCATGTTTAGACTTCTAATTAAGAATCTACTTCACAGAAAATAAAATTATAGAAAACTAATATACTAATGCTAAAATACAGTCATTTGCTTCTTTACAACATTTCGCTCAAAGATGGACAGCATATATATAGGTTGTCCCACAAGATTATAATGGAGCTGAAAAATTCCTATCACCTAGTGATGCTGGAGCCATTGTAAAGTCCTAGCATAATGCACCATTCAAGTGTTTGTGGTGATGCTGGTATAAACAAACCTACTGTGCTGCCAGTTTACTAAACTATAGAACATACAATTATGTATAGTATACAATACTTGGTAATAAATGACTATTTTACTGGTTTTTGTGTTTACTATACTATACTTTTCATTGTTATTTTAGAATAAATTCATATGATACATACCAAAAAAAGTTAAAAATACAATGGCCTCTGGCAGGTCCTTCAGCAGGTATTTCAGAAGGCAGCATTGTTATAGGAGATGACAGCTCCTGAACTCTAGTAGGACTACAGAGGTAGAAGACAGTGATACTGATGATCCTGACCCAGTGTAGGCCTAAGCCTACACTGTTTTTGTGTCATCATTTCTAACCAAAAAGTTTAAAAGGTAAAAATAAAAACAACGGAATAAACCCTAATGATATAAAGAAAATATTTTTGTTTGGCTGTACAGTGTTTGTGTTTTAAGCTGAGTGTTATTACAATAGAGTCAAAAAGTTAAAAAAATTAAGAAGTTTATAAAGTAAAAATGTTATAGTAAGCTAAGGTTAATTTATTACTGAAGATCAATAATACATGTAAAGCACTTGGCAGCACACAGTATATTGTTCAACAAAAGGGAGCTAATAACTTTCTATTATTTCTTTTTCCAAAGACCAGTCAATAGTAAAGTTTAGTACTAAGAATTATCTATTTCCAAAAAACAAAAATAAAAAAAAAATCTATGCATTTCCTGGTATCTAATTTAATTTTTACTAAACTGATAATAATAATTATTTTATTAAATAAAATTATAAATTAGATTTTTTTTACACATTTTTAGTCTTCAAACCAGAACTTGGATGCTTTACTTTGACATCATCTTTACAAAGAATCATTGTTTTGTATGTAAATCATAAGAATGAGAAAGTGCTTTGGAAGCCATGTAGACAAACAATTCTAAAATACCTGCCCCTGGAGTGGTGTCGGTTCATGACAGTTTTCATTAATCCCCTAACATACAGAGAAAAACAACAAAGGTTTTCATGTAACCAAAATTTTTGCACAACTAAACGTATTCAATTTAAAAAGCTATTCTTTATTGTGAGGCTATGTCCTTCCTACTTTTCTGTTTTAAAATGTCTTATTTTATGTGTGTGATTTCTCTCTTATACATTTACTTGTTCACTCCGTATATTGTCACATTTTCCTTTTATTTTTAAGCATTGTGGCCTCTGGCTACCAATAATCACACAAAAATGCAAGATAAAAAGTACTGGCAAAAGTCTAGTAATGACCGTGTTAAACCAGCCTTCCCTCAAAGCAAGAATCCCCATTAAGGGAGAAAGAGCATTAGGTAAAATAGCTAATGCATGCTGGCTTAATACCTAGGTGATGGGTTGATACGTGCAGCAAACAACCATGGTACACGTTTACCTATGCAACAAACCTGCACATGTACCCTGGAACTTAAAATGTAAATTAAATTTAAAAGAAAAATCCCCACTAAAGCATTCCTGAGAACTATTCATATTTGAATGAGTTGTCTTAGGAAAATAATTTTCTATATACATACCCAAAAGAAAACAATATTCATAAAAGGTTGACGATATATGTGATCTACAATTTTATGAGTAAAATTTGTGAAAACCACTATACTACTTACAACCTAAAAAAAAATCATGAAAATCATGAAATATTTGTTTTCAAAGCAGAATAACTTCAAAGATTTTTTTTTTAAAAAGAAGGAAAGTGTTTGCAAGACAGAAAAAAGTCTCTAAAGTATTAAAGGTGGAAGACTAAAAATAAAATGTAAATTAGTAAAGTATAACATTACCAGAGTGAATCAATAGGATGAGAAAAGAATTCCATTTATCTCCATATAGCTTTTCCAAATGTTGAAGGGCACAAAGTGTTGATCCTCCATTTCCTTAAAAACAAAGTTAAAAAAGCACAATTTATTTAATAGAAACCTACTAAAACTTTGTCATGATGGTAAATTTAGGTGTTATAAAACCTTGAGGATTTGCCTTTCAGGAATAATTAAATAGATGGACACCAAAGGTATTGGCAATAGAACAAAATTAAAAACGTCTCATAGCAAATAACCAATCAATAAATTAGCAATGAAACCCAGATAACAACCCTCAGTAATAAATGATGAGGTAATGTTCTCCCCAAAATAGTAATTACAAGAAAGAAGAAATAATAAATTACACAATCTGTAACATTAGAAGACTGATAAACATAAGCATTCATACAGAGTTACAAATCACAAAGCCCATTTAAATAATTCTCCCAAATGACACAATCAACAACACAAGTTGGAGTTCCTTTCGAAAACAAGATTTTTAGAACTTGAATTCCAAAAAAAAAATCTTAAATATAACTACCACACTAGTTATTTGGGCCAGTTATTTAACTCTCAGTACCTCAGATTCTCATCTACAGAAATATCACGCCTGTAATCCCAGCACTTTGGGAGGCAGAGGCGGGTGGATGTTGAGGTTAGGGGATCGAGACCATTCTGGTTACCACGGTGAAACCCCGTCGTCTCTATTAAAAAAAAACAAAAAAAAAATTAGCCGGTCGTGATAGCAGGTGTCTGTAGTCCCAGCTACTTGGGAGGCTGAGGCAGGAGACTGGCATGAACCCAGGAGGCGGAGCTTGCATTGAGCCAAGATCGCCACTGACTCCAGTCTGGGCAACAGAGCAAGACTCCATTTCAAAAAAAAAAAAAAGAAATAATAAGAGTACTGACCTCATAGTTGTAAGGATTAAAATAACATTGGCTAATTAGAATAATGCTAATGTCATTTACAGATATCCTATCTCTGGTATCAAGGGGCTTCAACTTTAAGTATCACATAGAAAATAGCCTTCAGAAAAACAGCATTTATTTCTATTTGCAATGGAAGGTCAAAGGGCAAAGTTGACCTAAACCAGGGTTTTCAAATATGTGTATTATGATATTTAAGCCATGTGACAGTGTTCTTTTGCATTATGTCCTCAAAAGGCCAAGAGTATTTTTTCCTACTACTTTGCTTTCTTCATGTAAACTGCTGGAGGAACTTTGGAGTGGAGAGGACCTTAAGAGCTCTACTGATAAGGTCCAAAGGAGTATTCCTATCTGAGTAGTGTAAATTTCATAAAAACTAATAAAATTATCTTTTAAGTAACATTCTGGAAGTTTCTCAAGGTAAGTCATAATGGGTAAGAATAGTTGCTATTCCTTTTATCTTTCTAAAAAAAGTGAATTTATGTTCAAATTTTAAAGTTTATAAAGCTGTGGGTAGAGATATGTAGCTTATACACTGTAAGTCACAGAAAAGCTTTTCTTCAATGATTATTCCGCTTAGGACCTATATTATAAATCTGACCATAAAGCACATACCAATTTTGGCTCCAGCAGGATCTACAAAAACATGATACTGAACTCCAAGGGGTAACTCCTTTCTTTTCAGCTTTTCTGACAGCTGGTGGTTGTAAGCAAGTTCCTGTTTTTCATCAGCCGCTGTTATTGCAACTATGTCCCAGAATTCTCCAGGTGCTACCAGTTTGCCTATTTGGAAAAGGCAAGCAAATGACAATAAAAATTATCAGAATTTTCTAGTTGCCACAGGTTTGCCTACTTAGAAAGAAGAAGAAGAAGGTAACATCTATTACCATCTTCCAAATTGTATCTTTGGCTTTTGAGAGTTAGGGAATAATCAGTGGTGCATTAGTATGATTCAAAATAGTACAATGAGGACTGTTCATAAGTTCCTATTTTTTCCTCTCTTTTAGATCACTCCCTTTTATGGTCTACAATCCAATTTAATTACAAATGCTGAACGATACAATGTTTCTTGATTAAGAAAGCGACTTTTAACTTGCCAAAGACTATTGCCTCAATTCTTCAATAAGAAGAGGAGACAAACAAATCTCCAGCGTTGCAAATCAATTCTTACGTATCAGGGACACTTAGTGTTAGGTGACTGAGACAGACACAACCCAGGCCGGGAGCGGTGGCTCACGCCTGTAATCCCACCACTTTGGGAGGCTGAGGCGGGCAGATCACTGGGGTCAGGCGATGGAGACCATCCCGGCTAACACGGTGAAACCCCGACTCTACTAAAAATAAAAAAAAATTAGCCGGGCGTGGTGGCGGGCGCCTGTAGTCCCAGCTACTTGGGAGGCTGAGGCAGGAGAATGGCGTGAACTTGGGAGGTGGAGCTTGCAGTGAGCCGAGAGAGAGCCACTGCACTCCAGCCTGGGGGACAGAGGGAGACTCGGTCTCAAAAAAAAAAAAAAAAAAAAAAAGACAATTCAAAGATCCATTCCATCAATGTTGCTGTTTATAAATGTGGGTACTTTATTTTCTATTACTTTAAGATAAACCATGCAAACTTACATAGGCTGTTAGAACATAAAATTCTGGATAACAGAAAGTCCCAACTCTCTGATGACATCTTTAAAAGACAGTCTGCACTTTTAGTAGACAGTTGGAATCTCTTTATTGATAAACAAAATGATTTAGCGTTTTAATTAGTTAACAAACAGAACCTGTCAGCTAGAATCTAATAGTCCTGAATATTTTACTGTTATCCAAGTATTAGTCCCAGTATTTTTTAAGCAGTCACTGCATCAGTAACCACTTTTATTAGCCAGTTGTATGGGGATTAAGTGGCATGGCCAATTTTTTGATAACAAATTTCTTCCTTTTAATTTTTAATCTATAATTCCTCCATGCTCTGTTACTCCCTCAACAAACGTTTACATTACAGAAGTAGATGAATGTAATGTAAACAGTGAAGTTTACATTAGGGGGTTGGAATCTACTCATAAAGGTCAAAATACTGTGCTTAATATCTTTTAGATTTATTTAAAGTAACTTTTATTAATGAGCTAATCAATGCATAACTTCACCAGATTTTCTTTCTTCTTCTTCCTCCGCCCTCATTTTAATATCTATACTACTAAGAATAAGCAACAAGCATGTCAAGCAGGGACAGTGAAAAGAATAAATAAAAACTGAAAAGGATTATTAGCTAGCTACTCCTGGGGGGGGTCACAGGCCTGCAGATGAGAAGCAGACGGGAAGTGACAGTCCAACAAACTTCCTGGCACGCAAAAGCACCCTCCCTCTGCATTGCCCAGGAGAACTCGCATGCCTTCTCTGGTACCTCTCAGTTCGGTAAACCTCCGCAATTTTCGCTGGGTGGCTTCTCGCAGCGATACTTCCGGAGGGTCCCTAGCAGCTGCCATAGCCCCACCTTCCCTGAGACCGCGCTGCACAGCACGCATGCGCCCTGGGGTGCGCTGCCGTCCGGTTATTTCTGGCCCGCCCCCTCCGTGCGTCGCTCACGTAACCACGCCCCGGAGCGCCTTGGCTGGCTCCCGGAAAACCCTGATGTGGTGAACCTGGATCTCTCGTCTTGTTTCTCTAGCAACGGTCTCGGGAGCAGATGGCCACCCAGCGATTTGTCTGACTGTGTTGGGTCTGGGCCACTTGTCTCCAACTCATAAGGGCTTGCGGCCCAGTTGACCCGGTGAGTGGTTCAGGTTGGGTTACAAAATTGTTAGAACCGACCCGCTAAGGATAAGGCGAAACTACAGTCTAGTTTCCCAACTTTCACATCGTAGGCGATTCGTCCTAACTGGTGATTTGTTTCAGCCTGGAACAGTTCCCCAGGAGATCCTGATAGAAGATCTCCCCCATCTGTCCTTTCCCCCCCGCCGCCCCAGGTCATCTGGAGCCATCTGCCCCCAACCCTGGGTCATGATACGTACACAGTCTGAATATTTAAAATCTGTTCTTTTTAGGAACCTTAAGTTTGTGGTTCCTAGAGAGTGAGCCAGCCCAGCCCTCTGTTTTTTTCTTGGTAGGCTACACACGACAGCCTCTCAGATAGTGTCTTTGGAAATTGTATAAAATTCAATCCGCAACCAGGCTCCAAATATTTTTGATATTTTGGTTTATTTTCTGTCATTCTTTTGTATATGCAGATTAATCTAGAATGTTCAATAGCATTCTTAGAAATAAGTCAGTCTTTTTAGGTGTATTTTGGGTAGCTATGTAGAGGTGTTCCTGTTGTAGAACACCAGGTTTATTAGTTTTACAGATCGCTTCATCTTTACACAGAAGAAAACTGAATCAGAGAATAGTGACTTAGTCAAGCTATCACAATTAGTAATAAAAGATTTAAGAAATATATTTCAATCCCAAACCCAGAAATTGTGCTATTTCATCATACCGTTTGATTTTTTGAGAAGATTCGTCTGTATCAAGGTCTTCATTAGGTACATAGGCATTCAGGGCACCATAAATTTACTTAGTTTTTCTTCTCAGACTTGTTATACAATCGTGTTCTAATAGTGGAAGCATGTGGATAAAATGGCAGATTAGATTACTCTTTCATAGTTTTATCATTTAAAACTTTTCATTAATTAAAAAATGGTGTCTTACTGAAGAACATTTAGAAAATACAGAGACTTGAGTGAGAGTAACCAAAAGAGAAAGTAGCGAGAGGAGGTCAGAGAGGGAACAAAGGGCCATAGAAAGAATTTTGGGTTTTACTCTTAAGGAAACAAAACCATTGCAGGCTTTTGAAGTGACGTGCCTTATGTTTAAAGAGATCACTCAGAGATACGAGAATGGATTATAATGGGGGATGAGGCAATGATAGAAGCAGGGAAGACTTGCTTGGAGGCTACTGCAATAATGCAGGTGAGAGTTGGTGAAGGCTTGACCAGGATGGCAGCAGTGGGGATGGTGAGAAGTTGGTCAGATTCTGGATGTATTTTTAAGACAAAAACAATAAAATATGCTGATGAAATTAATGGGTGTGGACTGTAAGAGAAAAAGAGGAATCAAAATGACTGCCTTGGGATGGCCATCAATTAAGATGGGTAAGTTTCTGACTGAGGAAGATTGTTGCGGTAATAGAGTCCAGAATTTGATTTTGGACATGTGGAATAAACAGACACATGTGTGTGCAGTGAATACTAAGGGAAGTTTGTGTGTGTATGTGTCTGTTAGCATTATACATATGAGTCTAGAATTCAGGAAAGAGGTCTGGGCTAGAGATACAATTTTAAGAATTGTCAGCAAGAAGATAGAATTAATTTTAACTGTGGAACTAGGTGAGGTCCCAAGGGAATGAAGGTCAGCAGAGCCTGTATGTCTGGGGTCTGTATATTCTAATAAGGTGAAATAAACAAGAAGTAACCAAATAAAAAAAGCCAGTGGTAACAGTTGTGAGGAGACAAACGGAGTGATGTGTTAGATTCTATCATACAGAATATTAAATAGAGTATTTCTTGGATCTGGGATGGTGTCATACAGAATATTAAATAGAGTATTTCTTGGATCTGGGTAAGATGGCCATAGAAATGGGAAATTATTTTTTCTCAATATGACTATATCATGCAATCAAAATTTGCTGGAAATAAATATACCATATCAGCTATGGGTTCTGTTCTCTTTCTTTTCTCAAATTTTCGTTAATGTTAATTTTTAAGTAAAAAAACTAAAAAACACTTTATATATGAGTAGGAGTAAATTTCCATGGCAGTTGATTGTTGGGGGCCGAAAAAGTCTAGAGATTTTATTTAAGTTCATATTCAAAATAATAAAACAGTGCGATATGATTGTTTAACATCTTCAGCTACTAGAGTATTATTTTACTATTCACCACAGTTTTTCCATTTATCAGAATATTTTCTATTTATCAGAATATTATTTTACCAAAGTAAAATATATCAGTCCAGCCAAGCTGTAAGCCCATTAATTCTGCACAAATCGAACACACAGGAAATAATCTATTTAGTTTTGGATTCCACATTTTTAAAAAGACATTGAACATACTAGACTATAATAAATTGAAAAATTATATTCTGTGGAGGCATTTGGGCTTTTTATTTCTTGGAGGAGAGTAGAGAGTATCTGAAGAGCTTCCATAAGGAAGAATGAGATAGATTTTTTAAAACAACTTTTTTGAGGTACAGGTTTAGAACATTTTCATCCCCCCATTAAAATGCCTTCTAACCCATTTACAGTTAATGCCAGTTACATTGTTTTTTTATTTCTACAGACATAACTATGACTGTTGTGTGGAAATTATAGAGAAGCATGGTTTAATTTTCCCCCCTTCTTTATAGGAGGAAGTTGAAGCCAAATGACTAGGGTCCTGGATTATGTACTGTGGAGCTCACAGTGCATGCTGTGGTCAGGCCAGCCTAGGACTGTACTTGTTTCCAGTCCTTGTGCTTCATGGCTCTGTTTAACCACTGTTTCCTCCTGTTACCCTTCCTGACATGAAACAAAAGCAAAAATTCTCTTTTTGCAGTTTGTTTTATTTGAATTTATTTACTCAGCTAGCCTGTTCTCAACTTATTTCTTAAATATTTTTTTCTCACTAGGCCCTGTTAGAGGAACCCTCATACCCCTCAACTTTCTGTAGTGCAAGGAAACATTGTCCCACCCTTGAACTTTTATTATACTTCCTCTCTTAGTATTTTGTGGAATTTTTTTTTTTTTTCCAAATGGAGTTCCCCAGTAGTGTAATCATACTTTGTCCAAATACCAACATGAGGTTTCGGGGAGGGGAAAGGGACAGGGAGAGGGCAAGTACTTGAAGACTATAAATTAGTAGAGTCAAGAATTAAATTTTAATTAATGTAATACAATATTTATGACACTTAAGAGAAAGGTATTAATGGCTTAATTTTAGGAGATACAAAATCTGTTCTGTGAAAACTAACCAAGAAGTGTTTTGGGCTAGAAGAAATATTTGTTGTGCTAATTTCCTTATTAAGAGGTTGTGATTTTTGTGCAGATTATTTTCTGTGAATGTTTTTATTAATTTTGACTGTTTAATATCCATCTTCTGGCTCACCTCCTTTTAGTTTTTTTAGGTTTATGCTTTTGCAGTTTCCAAATTGGAATAAAAATACAAACTGAAAAATGATGTCTCACAAAAGCTTTTTTTCTGAACAGAAGTATGTAACTTTCTAAAATTTAAAAAGCCAATACATTTAAATAAAAACCTCATAATTACAAATGAATTCTGATTCCTTATTCTGAATGACTTTTCATGTCATTTGAAAACATATAGAATATGCCATGAAAATATGTTTTGTGCTATCAAGGTTATTTATATTAACTTAAAAATGCACTGTATTCTATGTTCATTTTCCAGGACACATGAAGTGGTCTGACTGTTCTACTAGACTCTCCCCTTCTTAATTTTTAAAATATATTTTTTCTATGATATAAAATCATGACAATTCTTTTATATTTTTAGAGACAGGATTTTTATTTTTAGAGACAACCTTTCACCCAGGCTGGAGTGCAGTGGCAGATCATAGCTCACTCCTGGACTCATGCATTCTCTTGCTTTGCCCTCTCAAAGTTCTGGGATTATACAGGCATGAGTCACTGCACTGGCTTATGGCAATTCTTTATTAAAATAGTCATTACTTAACAAATCTGTTATCAAAATATAGAGTATTTAAAAAATATAATTTCTTTATTTTGTTAATAGAGAAGAGCTTAATATATTGCAGACATTCTAAACTAAAAATAAAGTTTATAATCACAATATATATAAAATATTACCGATTAAAATCCTTACAATTAGATTTTCTAAAAACTGAAACTTTATTTTTTTTATGATTTGATTTTATATGCAGATATCTTTTTTTTTTTTTTTTTTTTTTTTTTTTTTAAGACGGAGTCTCGCTCTGTCCCCAGGCTGGAGGACAGTGGCGCGATCTCGGCTCACTGCAAGCTCCACCTCCCAGGGGTTCACGCCATTCTCCTGCCTCAGCCTCCTGAGTAGCTGGGACTACAGGTGCCTGCCACCGCGCCCATCTAATTTTTTTGTATTTTTAGTAGAGACGGGGTTTCACCATGTTAGCCAGGATGGTCTTGATCTCCTGACCTTGTGATCTGCCCGCCTCGGCCTCCCAAAGTGCTGGGATTACAGGCGTGAGCCACCACGCCCGGCCTTATATGCAGATATCTTAACAGCTGTTGTGATAATTCTGGAGTCCAGTATTCAGATTTCCATTTAATATTATAGTTCATGCTTATAAAATAAATTACTTTCATGTAGACCATCAAATCTAGTATTTTAATATATTACTTAAAATAATGATGATCTGTCTTCCTAGTACCTAAAAGGTTCAGCGAGTAAGTTTTAAGTCTAAAGGTACACTCAGCAAAGGCTTTGAAAATTTTCTTTTCAGTATTTATTATGTATCACGTTTGGAAAAGAAATAAATATACAAAATAAATACTTTTTACTTCTTAATATTTAATTT